GCAATCCCCATCCAATAAAGATCCCTCCGAGGAGAATATCTCTGGCAAAATGACAAGAGATGGAGAGGGTCATGGTTGGCCTAATTAAGGAAGGGATAGTCGAGCTATGTGGACTTCAGGGCTCTTAACAGTATAACCAAAAAGGACTCATATCCACTGCCAAGAATTGATAGATACTCTTGCTGCCATAAGTGGAGCCAGGTGGTTTTCCACTCTAGACTTAATGTCGGGTTTTCATCAAGTGAAAATGGCTGAAACAGATAAACCTAAGACTGCATTTACTTATGGCCAAGGTGTCTGGCAATACTGTGTGATGCCATTCGGGCTTAGCAATGCTCCAGCAACATTTGAGAGGCTGGTGGAACGAGTACTGGAAGGCCTACAATTGAGGATAGCCCTAGTGTACCTCGATGATGTCATTGTGTTTGTAACAACGTTCGATGAAGAAATATCCCGGCTAGTGGAAGTATTCAAGCGTTTGAAAGCAGCAAAACTCCATCCCAAGAAATGCCACTTGTTCCAGAAAGAGGTACTTTACTTGGGTCACATTGTAAGTTAGCTTGGTGTGTGAACTGATCCTGACAAGGTGAAAGTAGTGCATGATTGGCCAACAGCAGACAATGTGGGAGAGTTAAGAAGTTTCTTGGGGCTCTGTACCTATTACCGGAAGTTTGTGAAGGACTTTGCAACTGTAGCTGCTCCACTACATGATTTGGCCAAAAAAGGTCAGAAGTTTGAATGGACAGTTTCTTGCCAGCATGCTTTCAAGACATTGAAAGAAAAATTGGTCTCAGGTCCACTTTTAAAGCTTCTAAATTCCTCACTGCCATACATACTGGATTGTGATGCTAGTAATGTCGGAATTGGAAAAGTGTTGTCTCAGAAAGTGGGCGAAAACGAACATGTGGTGGCCTACTTCAGTAGGATCCTGAGTAGACCAGAGAGGAACTATTGTGTAACACAGAGGGAACTCCTTGCTATAGTAAAGAGTCTGGCATATTTCCATCCTTACCTCTATTATGCCAAGTTTACCATCAGGACAAACCATGCTGCATTACGCTGGTTAAGATAATTAAAGAACCCAGAGGAACAACTGGCACATTGGATCAGAAAGATAGACCAGTATAATTATGATATTGAATACAGAGAAGGAAAATATCATGAAAGTACAGACTGACTTAGCCGAAGACCCTGCAAAAATGACTGCAGACATTGCTTCAAAAAAGAGG